AATACTGAAAATTAGTTGGATAGTATTACCACTGATTACCAAGTTAATTTTGTCTCTCATGGGATCATATTACAGAGGGATAGATTTATACTACTAAGAAAAGCATCTTTCTGGGTTGCCAAAAAGAATGTAGGAAGTTTTTGAAACATGGTAGGAGGTATTGGGGAAAAAAAAGAATATGAACTCATCTTTTAAAAGTGATAGTGACTTTTAATTTAATTTTGCTAAAACACTTTGCTTCAGGGCTTGGCCCTATAGATATTGGGTTTCTCCTTGGAGTAGGTTTAGAGGACAGTACTTATTCCAGCCCTGATGGTTTCTTTCTTTTCAGGCAAGTCTCTTTCTCCCTGGACCATGATTTCCTCAAACATAAAATGAAAATATCTGATTCTAAGTTTCTTTCTAAATCTAAAACTATATGAAATACCGGCGGATTTTGAGAGGGCCAAATGTTTTTTGAGAGGAAGGAGAAATTTAATAAGTGTATGTACATGAAATCAACTTATAGTTTGGTGCTACTGTGAGAGTAAGATAATGGCCACACCAGTGTATCCTAAAGAAATACACTAAAGGAAATACCCTGCATCCATTGAAGAGAAACTGTGGCTTTTAGATTTCTGCCTCAGAAGTGACAGATTGAGAGGAGCCAAAAGCTACATAGCTCTGATTTTTCCCAGGCCAAGCCTGGCATATTACAGCAGGTGGTAACGTCACACACATGGCTACGTGCTGGGAAGGTAACCTTCCCCGGCCCTCCACAAACCACCCAGCCCAGGACGGAATGTGTTCCAGACTCAGGGAAACCAGGTGTGCGATAGACAGTGGGCAGCGGGAGGGGAGGATGTTGCTAGAACACCTTTCCTAAAGGACAGGCCCCTGAACTTGCCGTGTGCCCTTGGCCCAGCAGCGGTGTTAGAAGGAAGTTCAAACTCAAGTGTTAGTGCATATAGGCATATATCAGAACTCTTTGATGTGCATTTCATCTACTAAGTGTCCCAGAAGAGCAGGCTGCTAATGAGTTACTTTACCTCTGGCAAGTAGCAGTGATACCCAGCTAGACAAAAGACAACAGTACAGAGTACTGCTCTGAATAGAATATCCTTTACAGTGTAGATACCTTCTCCTTAAAGTTTCTCTTTATCAAGGCCCATTCTTGAAGACTAGAAAGAACCTTTTGTCTAACTGAAGATAAGGCCTTTCATACCTTAATTTGGGCAGTTTTGAAATTCTTTCTTAGATGAAACTTCAGTTTCCTATTAAAACATTTCAGTAATGTGATTTTAAACTGGCAGAAGAAAAATCTATGTAGAAGGATGGGGAAAACTTCTGTGACCATTTGAGTAAAATGATGTCCTGATGAGCCAAAGTCTTCACCAAAGGTTACAAGCAAAAGAAAACTATTCTCAACAGTGAAAGGATCAGTGTTAAATGAGGAAATTAGAGAGAAAAACAGATTTGGGGGGGAAATCTGATGAGGTGAGGGGCTTAGACTGTTGGAAAATAAGAAATCAGGGTGAGAGAAATAAAAGACTGTTGAGTACAATGAGAGCCTTTGGACTCAGGTCCCTGGTCCCAGGGTTCACCATGACTAGCCTAACAAGAGAGGCTTGACTCCTAACCAGGAGGAGAGCTCCTTGGCTCCTGCAGGCCACAAGAGTTCTTCATATAATTGGCAGATTGCTAGAGAAGTTTGTCCATTTCTGTTTACTTTATAAGAAACTGGTAAAATGGTGTTTCTAAAATTAAGCAGAAATCCCCAATGGAATACAAAAATCAAAAGTTGTCAGCTGTGGACAAAAAATATAAAAATAGTATAAACATATATCTGATTTACTTGACCTTGATTGAACTTATTTTAGAGGACTGATGAAGAAGTGACATTTGGTCCTTACACCACATTTATGGTTTCTGAATAAGAGTCTTAGTATATTTCATTCATAATTATTACAACAGTCTTTAAATAAAATGTTTTCATGCTCTTTGGTCATGAGTAAAGTTCTTATTAATTAAGAACTTTTAATGGAAAAGACATCAGAAAGGCAGTGTTTGACCCATGATCAGTTTTCACCTCCTTCCACTAGAGACAGTTTCTCCAGAATTCTCGGAAAAAGAGATGGCCAATGGTAAGTCGGTGTGGGGTGAGAGAAAGCATGTGGCTTTAGAGTCTAACAAACTAAGGTTCTTATCCCAGCTCTTTAACTATAGCTGTGAAACTTGGATGTGTTGACTGCTATCTCTGACCTTTGAGATGTTAATCTGCAAAAATTAAATGTGATGGTATAAGGAAAATGCTTAAGTACTTGGCATAGAAGAAAACACTAAAAAATGTTAGTTTTCAACCTTTTTTTTCCTGCACCCACCCAGATAAGTTTTGGCTCATAATTTAGCCTTTTTTTGAATACCTGAAGGTTGTCATTTTGAGCATAAACAGTTATACTGTTTTGTAATAAATAATAATTTCAGTGCAAAAAAAAAAATAAGTCCAGTAAAAGCAATGAGTCTCAGATTGCAGAGCCTTTAGTATTCTTATGTCTGTTTTTTTCTTTCTTGTACTTCAAGAATTAGTGTTATATTTTGCTTCCCTGATAGCTCAGTTGGTAAAGAATCCGCCTGCGATGCAGAAGTCCCCGGTTTGATTCCTGGGTCAGGAAGATCCGCTGGAGAAGGGATAGGCTACCCATTTCCAGTATTCTTGGGCTTCCCTTGTGGCTCAGCTGGTGAAGAATCCGCCTGCAATGCAGGAGAGCTGTGTCTGTCCCTAGGTTGGAAAGATCCCCTGGAGAAGGGAAAGGCTACGCCCTCCAGTATTCTGGCCTGGAGAATTCCGTGGACTGTATAGTCCGTGGAGTTGCAGAGAGTCGGACACGACCGAGTGACTTCATTTTCATTTTGCTACCTCTACAGTGGCCACCACTTCTCTTTCACACTGTCCTTTCTGTTCGGCTATAAACCAGTAAACCACAGCTTGCTACAGTTATTTGAAAAATCAGAGTCTACAGGGTCTAAATGACCTTACAGTAAGCAGAGAATCTCTATTTCTTTGACCATGGACATACTGGATATTCAAATGTTAGATGAGCAGGTGATTAAATAAATGACATTAATTTTGGTATCTCGGAAGTCTTTAATATCTTCATGATTCTCAACTATATTTTCAAAAGATCTGATTACTGGGTAAAAATGCTTCTAGAAAAGGGAAAGATTGCTAATAACATGTGTATAATGTTTTATTTGACATGTTTAGTATCAGTACAAGGTTTTTGAAATGAAAGGAATATGAAAATTTGTGATGTATGAAGAACCCTGACATTACCCAGAAATGTGATTCTTGTATTCTTTCTGTAGTTTGTAAAAGAAAAGGAAAGTTGTGCCTTTATGGTGATTTGCTGAATTATAAATGTGAAGTATTTACCTAAAGTCATGTGACCTGCTGGAGGAGGAACTGGAACTTGAACACAAAGCTATCTGATTCCACGTTTAAACTTTCTTTCTCCCCATCTCTCGCCTGTTGTCTCTGCCCCTTTCTTGGTAGCAAGGTCTTCAGGAGCCTCTGCTCCTGGGAAGAGTGAACCCTTAAGTAGCCAATATCACACGCCAAGGCACAGAGTTCCCAGTCTGGTAGTTACATATCTGGCCACTGTGCTTCCAGTCATCCTTCTCTGCGAGAGCTGCTGTTCATACCCAGTTGTATTCACTCCTGGTAATAGTAGGAATCATTGTAAGAGTAGCAGCTGACACTTCTGTGGGACTTACCTATGAGCCAGACATTGTGCCAAGGCTTTACATGTGTTGATTCATTGGATACTGTGGTTATCTTCATTGAACAGTTGAGGAAACTGAGACACAGAAAGGTTAAGGAACATGTCTAAGATCATATAGCTGGGGCTAGAACCCAAGCCCAAGTTCTGACCCCTTGTCCAACTTTTAACAGCCATATTACTTCCTGTAAACTATAAGTAAACAACTCAATATGATCCTGTGTATTAGGGGGAATACTATTATACTTTACCATTTTGTAATAAGAAATGCAAAATTTTTCCTCATAGAGGAATTTAGATTAGATGTTTTAAAAATCTACCTTGACAAGAAACAGTGCTGTTGTGGGAGGGGGGACACCTTCCAGGGCCCAAGAGTGGGCTCTTGTCTAACAGTCAGAAATGAACTGTTCGAGGAGACATGTGCTGACAAAACAAGCGACTTTATTGGGAAGGGACACCCCGGTGGAGAACAGCAGGGCCCGGGAACCCAGGAGAACAGCTCTGCCACGTGGCTCGCGGTCTCGGGTTTTATGGGGATGGGATTAGTCTCTGGGTTGTCTTTGGAGCAGTCATTCTGACTCAGAGTCCTTCCTGGTGACACACGCATTGCTCAGCCAAGATGGATGCCAGCAAGAAGGATTCTGGGAGGTGGTTGGACACGTGGTGTTTCCTGAACTCTTCTGGTTAGTGCTGGCTTATTAGGTCCGTGCTCCTTACCAGGGCCTCCTGTTGTAAAATAACACACACACACACACACACACACACACACACACGGTTACTGTGGTGCATGACCAGGATGGGCGGTTTCAGTCAGTGTCCTTCCCATTAACAGTGCTACCAGTTAACCAGTTGGTTTGTTTTCTGAGTTTATACAAATTTTTAATATTTTATTCAGTTGAATAGGCAATATTTATTGAGTGCTTATTATATGCTTAGGATGAACTAAGTATTTTATGTTGTTAGGTCATTTAGTCCTCATAAGAACCCTATGTTATCAGTAATGTCATTATCCTTGTTTTATGAGAAAATTGAAAATTGGAAGTAGTGACCTGCCCAAGGACACCTAGCTACTAGGGGCAAAATTGAGATTTGAACTTTCAGTCTGACTTTAGAACCAGTACTCAAACATTCAAATAGCACTTCTAGAATTTCAGAATTATTTATGATTCCAGAAATTTTCCGTATCATCTGTTTATTTTTGGTGGTTTTATTGAAATACAATACTGTATTTTTTCCATCTAGGTTTATGTTCCAGATGAAAATAATGCTATTTTGGGAAGAAATACAAATAAGCAAGTTTTCGAAGGCTTGACAACTGGACTTCTCAAAGTCAGTGCTGCGGTTTTTGGCTGCCTGATTGCCAATCGACCAGATGGAAACAACCAGCCAACTACACCAAAAATATCAACACAGGAAATGAAAAGCAAACCCTCACAAGGTGATGCTTTTAACAGTCGAGTTCAGGACCTCATCAGGTAAATTTCTAGATTTCTTAAAACTTGTTTGTTTAAAAAAATTATTTTAAAATAATTTTAATTCTCAGGGCCCATGTGATGGCAATTGTTCTCATACCATCCACAAATTCCTGATAGAAAATATACCACATTTTGTAGAGAGAAGGAAAATCCTATTAATGAAAAGTAGTATAGTTAAAGCTTATCTGTCATTCTTGATATTTAATATTCAACATTAGAATAGGTAGTTTCCAAGCTTTTTGTAACTGTTTTTGCTGTCAACTCTTTCCAACTCAAAGAATTTGTAAGAATTCCCATATCTCAGGTCATCTCTGCTTATAAGTTTGGTTCAGATTCTAAGTACTCATAATAGCTATCATTAATTGTAGCACCCATTATTAGTAATGTATTGTGTCGTTGTTTAGTTGCTAAGTTGTGTCTGACTCTTTGCAACCCCATGGAGTGCAGTGTGGCGGCTTCATTGTCCTTCAGTATATCCCACAGTGTGCTCAAACTCATGTGCATTGAGTGGGTAACCTCATTTTGTCAGAACTCTCCACTATGACAAAGAACTCTTGGTGTGGAAAGGAAGAATCTTTTAGGGGCTTCCCAGGTGGCACTAGTACTAAAGAAGCAGTCTGCCAGTGCTGGGGATGCCAGAGACAAGAGTTCAGTCCCTGGGTTGGGAAGATTTCCTCAAGGAGGGCATGGCAACCCACTCCAGTATTCTTGCCTGGAGAATCCCACAGACAAAGGAGCCTGGCAGGCTCCAGCCCATAGGGTCACAAAAAGTCTGACATGACTGAAGTTACTTAGCACTCACACAGAAAGTGTAGAAACTCTAGAGGACAATGATATCCTTTGGATCCTCTGTAGTTTTGCCCCAGGTGATGCTAGTGGTAAAGAACCCACCTGCAATGCAGGAGACATAATGAGATGTGGGTTTCATCCCTGGGTCAGGAAGATCCCCTAGAGAAGGACTTGGCAACACCCTCCAGTATTCTTGCCTGGAGAATCCCATGGACAGAGGAACCTGGTGGGCTACAGTCCATAGGATCACAAAGAATCGGACACGACCGAAGCGACTTAGCTCACACACACTCCACTATGACCCATCCGTCTTTGGTGCCCTTGCAAGGCATGGCTTATAGCTTTGTTGAATTACACAAGACTGTGATCCATGAAGGGGGGTTAAGTATTGTAGTAGAAGCTTTGCAGCCCTGTAAGTGTAGGATTTCTAATTCAGACTTTGTTCAGTTCAGTCCAGTTGCTCAGTTGTGTCTGACTCCTTGAGACCCCATGGACTGCAGCATGCCAGGCCTCCCTGTCCATCACCAACTCCTGGAGTTTCCTCAAACTCACGTCCATTGAGTCAGTGATGCCATCCAACCATCTCATCCTCTGCCATCCCATTCTCCTCCCGCCTTAAATCTTTCCCAGCATCAGGGTCTTTTCAAATGAGTCATTTCTTTGCATCAGGTGGCCAAAGTATTGGAGTTTCAGCTTCAACATCAGTCCTTCCAATGAATATTCAGGACTGACTTCCTTTAGGATGAACTGGTTGGATCTCTTTGCAGTCCAAAGGACTCTCAAGAGTCTTCTCCAATACCACAGTTCAAAAGCATCAATTCTCTGGCACTCAGCTTTCTTTATAGTCCCAACTCCACATCCATACATGACTACTGGAAAAACCATAGCCTTAACTAGACGGACTTTTGTTGGCAAAGTAATGCCTCTGCTTTTTAATATGCTATCTAGGTTGGTCATAAATTTTCTTCCAAGGAGTGTCTTTTAATTTCATGGCTGTAGTCACCATCTGCAGTGATTTTGGAGCCCCCCAAAAATAAAGTCAGCCACTGTTTCCACTGTTTCCCCATCTATTTGCCATGAAGTGATGGCACCAGATGCCATGATCTTAATTTTCTGAATGTTGAGCTTTAAGCCAACTTTTTCACTCTCCTCTTTCACTTTCATCAAGAGGATCTTTAGTTCCTCTTTGTTTCCTGCCATAAGGGTGGTTCATCTGCATATCTGAAGTTATTGATATTTCTCCCTGGAATCTTGATTCCAGTTTGTGCTTCCTCCAGCGCAGCGTTTCTCATGATGTATTCTGCATATAAGTTAAATAAGCAGGATGACAATGTACAGCCTTGACGTACTCTTTTCCCTATTTGGAACCAGTCTGTTGTTCAAACTTTGTAGGTAAGGAAATCGCTCAGTGGGGTTAAGTGCTTTGCCCAAGGTTATGTAATGAATAAGTTTAAAATTTAAGTAGGAGAATTGAGACTGGAACTCAGGTCTATCTGGACTTCTTCCAACAGCTGTATATTTTCCACTACACAAATGTGGCAATTTCTAACACCTGTTCAAGGTCAATCCTGCTTCCTTCCACAGTCACCTTTTCTCCGGGGAAATTTATTCCTACTCTTGACATTCAAATTCTTTTTCCCTAGTGAATCTGGAATCAGATAGGACATTTAATTTCCCAACAGGATTCCATCTGGTGTTAATCAATTACCTGTCCCACCTAGCAGAAACTCCTCTGTGATCTGCACTGATCTCTGACTCTCAAAACCCATGCAATTTGTTACTCTTTGAAGCTTATAGTAGGTTAATAGGAGAAAGAGAATGCCCTCTTCTGCATTCGCTTCTTTCTCAGTTCATAAATTTCATCTGGTCTCTTGTAGTGCTTTCTTGGAAACAGTTGTTTCATTCAGGATCTTTCTTACCCTTGATTACTTTGTTAACTTGTCCCTTGCAGCCGCCTCCCCTCTCTCCCCAAGCATATTTATTGCTCCAGAGTACTAGGCAGGCCCTTTGGGTCCACAAACTATTTATCATGCAGCACTTGACTTTGACCCTCCCTGGCCTTTCTCCCTGTTGCTTGATCTCATTCAATTTCCCCATGTCCTTTTGGTCTGTAGAACCTGGCCCTCCCTGCTGATAAATGCCATTCAGTCCCAGCATCCTCCCTTGGGCTACTGTGTGATGCTTTCTTGTCATCCAGACAACTCAGTTACATGCCTCAGCTACAGTGAGGCAGAAGGCCAGCCAGATGCTTCAGTGCAATTCCAGTAGACCTTCCAGGAGAAAGTACCTACATTTTTACACTTATTATTATAGTTACCAGATCCTTCATTTAAAAAAAAGGTTATGGGGGGGGGGGGGAAATAACAGTGATGATCTGCCAAACCAAATAATTCATGTAATTCCTTTTTAGGCATGTAGCTTAAAAAGGATGATAGGCAATTACAGTGCTTCAGAGCAAAACGATGCCACTCTTTTAATCTGGCTTGAACCACCTTTGGTAAATATTGTTTTCTTATAGATAATGCATTGTTAGCTGGCTTGATGATCCCTATGTGTAGGACCACAAACTTTATCTCAAATCTTCCTAGTGAAGCAAACAGAATATGTGTAGTTTCATGCTTTCTTTCTCACCTTCTCAAATATGAACTGACAGGAAATCTCACTCCACTCCCTCCTACAACCTGGGCCTTTTTTGTCAGTTTATAAATCTCTAACACTGTTAAGTTGTAAGGGAAGAGTTCCAGCACAGTTTTTGGCACTGGTCTCTTGCCTGTGGCACTAAGGTATAGCTGGAACAGAGTACATCACTCTGGCATATGTCCTTTTTCTCTCCTTATCTGGCATGGAAGAGGCAAGGGGGTGTCTAACTGAGATGAGGTAATAACAGTATTTATTCTCCTTATTTTAGATGGTTCAGTCAAGTTTCTAGCCCTTAGGGATCCTCAGAAATATCTATCACCTCAAAATATTGCCACTTGTACTCACTTTATGCCAGACACTTTACAAGGTCCTAGGATACAAAAACAAATTAAAAAAAAAACCCTGTAACAAAATATCCAAATAATATCTTTTGGCTATAAAACATTGGAATATTTTTGTAAGATGCAAATATTGGCAATTTCAAGTGTTTAGCATAGTTCTAGGAAAGCAGTATTGTGTATGGGATAGAAGCAGATTGCAATGTGAAAAAACACTGGTTTGAAATTTGCCCAGGAAATACATCAGTCCAGAAGTGCTGCAATTCAGTTTTTTCCTGGCTCTACTGAGATATGGGTGGACATACATAACATTGTGTAAGTTTAAGATGTACAACGTGATTTGTTACACATACATATAGGGCAAAATGATTACCACAATAACTGTTTGTTAACAACTCCATCACCTGACATAATTACCTTTTGCGTGTATGTGTGTATATTGAAACATTTAAGAGTTAACTGTTTAGCAACTTTCCGGTATGTAGTACAGTACTGTAGCTTTTAGTCACCATGCTGTATGTTACGTTCCTGGAACTTACTCATCTTATAAATGTAAGTTTGTACCCTTTAACCAACATCTCCCCATTTCCCCTACCTACCCCCAGCATTGGGCAGCAGCCATTCTACTGTTTCTAAGAGTTCATCTCTTTCAGATTCCACACAGTATTTGCCCTTTAACTGTCTGACTTATTTCACCTAGCATAATGCCTTCAAGGGCAACCCATATTGTTACGAATTGCAGGATTTCCTTATTTTTTATGGCTGAATAGTATTTCATTTTACACACACACACACACACACACACCACTTTGCAGGTGTGCTCAGTTGTGTCCAACTCTATGGAATTTTCCAGGCAAAATTACTGGAATGGGTTGCCATTTCCTCCTCCAGGGGATCTTCCTCACCTCGGGATCAATGTCTCTTGCATCTCCTGCATTGGTAGGCGGATTCCTTACCACTGAGCCATCTGTATGTGTGTACTTAGTCACTCAGTCATGTCCAGCTGTTTGCAACATCGTGGACTCTGGCCTGCCAGGCTCCTTTGTCGATGCAGATTCTCCAGGCAAGAATACTAGAGTGGGTTGCCATGCCCTCCTTAGGGGATCTTCCCAACCCAGGGATTGAACCTAGGTCTCCCACATTGCAGGCAGATTCTTTGCCATCAAGCCAACAGGGAGGCCCATGAATACTGGAGTAAGTAGCCTCCAGGGTATCTTCCTGCATTGCAGGCAC